CGAGAACGACGATGGGAAAACGTCGTGGTACTCTCGGATGAGGTCACGAACTGCGGGCTCCAGGTCAGCCGTATATCGTGCGAGTTCCTCAGCGTCAGCGTCAGCGCGCGACGGCGGAGTGGGCTCGACGGACGGCGGAGGGACGAAAGTAGAGATGGGAGTCATGGAGATAGAAGGACGATTTGGCTCTAGAGGGATGAGCTCGGCGTCGGGACAAGGTGGGTCATAGTGTAAGAGATCCGTCACGTTCACCATAAAGAAGGTGACGTCGTCCTGTCGCATGAAGTGGGCGAACTGCCGAGGCGAGGTGACAGTGATAGAAGGAGATGGTGTGGGAACGGAAGGCTCCGGGAGAGGAGGATCGGGGCGTGGTGTCGCGGTGGTACCTATGAAAGGTACGCGATACGTGTGTCCACACTTCGTTTTGAGAACGAGAGTGTTGGTCGCCCAATCGGCCTCGGTGCTGCGGAACCGACGAGACCGTGGAGTGCCGAGAATGAAGTCGTACCCCGTCTCCATCACATCGAAATGTGCAGAGGAGCGGTGGCGACGAGACGACGGGGAACGATCAGTCGGTTCGAGAGTGAGGAAGAAAGGGAGGTCGGTGACCGTCTGATCGAAGAAGCGCTGGGTCTTGTCATCCCCTAGGGTAACGGAGATGGGAGTCGGAGACCTTGTCGTGGGTAAGCGGGCTTCTTTCACCACGCGTGGGTGAATGAAGTCGCCCTGAGAACCGGAATCCCACAGCGCTGAGTACACCCTCGTGGAGGTCCCGAGTCGTACAGGGATGATCGGGAGGGTGCGATCAGGGTCAGAGAGGATGGCGAGAAGGCGCCTCATTGCAGCGACATGGAGGGTGAGTCGCTCCTGATGAGCCTGGAGCATGCTCAAGTCAGAGAGGACACGACGTCCTCGCGAGTAGCGAGCTGCTCACTGCAACGGGCTGAGCGAATGGCTCGACGCGTCGGTAGTCGCGGCGGGGAAGGAGGGGAGACGGTGGTCTGCGGAGGCGCAGACGGTACTGCGACAGAGGGCTGAGTACACTGTGTCGAGTCCTGCGATACCTCAACCCCAGTAGCGAGAGGGGCAAACCACGACGGAGATGTCGGGAAGCCCACTACTGAGGAGGGCGCAGGTGTACACTGCACCGTGGCTAGGAGGCGCCGGGGGGGGACTGAGCACGACGCTGACGAGAAAGGTCAGCGTAGTGGCGGTCGAGGGCGGTAGTGTAAGGGCACCGCGAGGAGGTATGACCGTCCAAGCGGCAGCGCAAACACCCACGCCGGCCTAGAATGGCCGCGCGCTCCTCAGGGGAAAGGACACCAAGAGGAGGGACGAAGCCCTAAGGGAGGTCCTCCTGAGGGACCTCGGGGGGGGACGTGCTAGCGTGACTGGGGCGGCTGCGTGCCTGAGAGAGGGCGGAGAGCGCGAGCTGAAGGTGCTCAGCTGCAGGGAGAGTAGAGTCCTCCAAGTGATAGTGGACGGCCTCGCAGAGATCGAAGTCGTCGCTGTGGTCGCCCTCAGGTGACAGTGGGGCAACAGCATCCTGCTCACCATACTCCAGCGCGCTGAAGCGGCGCGAGAAGTGGCGGCCCTGCTGCGTGGAACGGTGGGGGCGACCGCGGAAAGGGGAATGACGCTGGGAAGTGCCATGAGAGGAGGAGGAGGCGTAGCCCGTGCGCTGGGGCTGGGTGGAGGAGGCGGGGTGAAGACAGGCTCGCATCCGCTGATGGTCCCTGGCGGCCTCGTAAGCCTGTGGGGCCGATGTGAACTCGTACCGCCATAGCTCGGAGCGATACTCGAGCGGGAGGCTAGCCAAGAAACTATCGATAAGGGCAGCCTTGGGAACGAACGCCACGTCACAAACGAGGCCGACGTCCTGAAAGACCTGGATGTGACGATCCAGGCCGGCAGCGCCACCAGAGCCGGACCAGCGTGTAGTGACGACACGCTCGAAGGCGTCAGTCACGTCATATCGGGTTCCGAAGCGATCCTCGAGGAACGCCTGGAAATCCATGAAGGTCGGAGTCCGACCCTCACGCAGGGAGTAAGCATAGAAATCCTCCGAGGTGTCGAAAGGAGCACCACACAGGCGCGTGGAGAGGTGACCCACCCATGTGTCAGGTGCGGCGCCTATGAGCTGGAGCGTGAGGGTGGCAGCCTGCAGCCACCTAGACACGTGTATGCCTGTACCGTCATACAAGGGAATGTCCGACAAGCGGATGACTGGTATGCCACCGTTATGGCGGCGAGGGGAACGGGAAGCAGGGGACTGCGTACGCGGAATAAGTTGGCGCAGGTCCTGGAGGACGAGGAGGCGCAACTGACTGTACGCCCAGGCCGCATGGTGGAGCGGCGGGGGAAGCAGCGGCAGGCTGCACGGGAACTGCGGTAGAAGAGGTCGCGGCGACCGAGGGGATGGGGAGGAGGTAGGATGGAGATTGGTAGAGTGCAGGACGAGGGAAGCGAGCCTGCATAGAAGGAAGAATAGTGGAAGAAGGGGGTGCACCGGAAGGCGCGGCCACCTGTGAGGGTGGGGGTGGCTGCAGGCGTAAGAGGGCGAGGTCGGTCCGGAGCCGGGCGATCTCGTCCTCGAAACTTCGAACGTAGGTCGAGCGAGGTGTGGCAGGGGGAGACGCACGACCGGCGCGAGGCATCCCACAAGGGGGAGAGCCAGATGGTGCTGCGGTCGTGCGAAGAGGGGAGAGAAGTGGGGCACCCGGAAAAGCTGAGACCATGGTAGAGGGTTGTGGTCCCGTGGCCGTCGTGACCGGAATCTGGGCGGGTGCGCCCGTGGACTGAGGGAGGGCCTGACTCGTGGCGGCCGTCGAGCTAGGGGCGTGGACGGTCACCAAAATGGCCGGGTCGGGGGCGGCAGAGGAGGAAACTCCGCCGTCGCCACCCTGTCGGAGAACTGGGGACCTGGACTGGGAGCCAGGAGAAGAGAGAGGGTGAGGAGAGGAAGGACGACCAGCGTCCTGGAGTTGCCGCACGCCGGCGGCAAGGGTCGTTACTTGCGCCTGTAAGGGCGCGAGGGTCGCGAGTTGCGCCTGCATGGGCGCAAGGGTCACGACTTGCGCCTGGATGGGCGCCAGGAAGAAGGTCAGGAGGGTGTGCAGATCCCCCTTGGGCTAATGGCCCTGGTTCGCCGGCACGGGTGTGGAGCCCGATGCCGTGGTCATCGCCGTGTCGGCGGCGTGTGACACACCGTCAGCCATGGGGAGATGACGGACCGGACTGGAGGGGGCCAGAAGAGGTCCGCGTGAGCGGAGGGCGTAGGGGGAAGTCCGCGGTAGAAAGCGGCGAACGGCGCTAGCAAGGCTAGCACGGGCGCCGTCAAAGGGGGAGGGGTGGTTCGGGTCCAGGGTGCCCGAAGAGGACGGGGAAGTAGGGGGGTTGTGAGGAACCCTAAACCSTACAAAAACCCTAAGAAAACCCTAACCGAGGTTTAAGTGGTTAGGGTAGGGTACCGGTGACCTAATCAAGAAAGTAAAAGAGCAAGCATAGGGGGGGGGGAGGCGGGAGAAAAATAAATAAACAGCAAGATTTCGAGAGAAAATAAAAATAAATAAGGAAATAAATAAATAATAAATAATAAATAAATAAATGTGTGAGGAGGTGGGGAGAAATGGGTTATCTGATTTTTCAAAAATTTTGGCAGCATTTCGTTATCCCCATGGGGTCGAAGTGTGCCGAAAGCAAGAAAGGCTAACACCTAATCAGATTTAGGTTTGCTGCCAAGAAATTCGAATTTTCAGAATAAATAAAAATAAATAAAATAAATCAGAAAATAAGAAAAGAGGGTGGGGAAGAAGATGAGAAAACTAACAACTTATCAGATTTAGGGTTGCCGTAGAAAAAATCGAATTTCCAGAATAAATAGAAAAAAAATGAAATGAATCAGAAAATCAGAAAAGAGGGTGGGAAAGAAGAGATTTCGAATTTTAGGAAAAGAAAAAAGATAAATCAAAAGAGAGGTGGAAAGAAGAAAAACAGAAAAAAAAATCAAAGTAGGGGGGAAGGGGAATGAAAAAGTGAAGGAGAAAAGAAAGAAATAGGTGGGGGGAGAAAA